CACAGATCCAGAGAAGATCATACATTAAACAAACAGTTAGTTATCATAAAATACGGATTGTAAACGAAAAGAAATTAAGAATACCTGTACCCGTTATTGTGACCATTGATTCACCTACTGAATGCAAAATAACACCGAATGTTGTATCAATATCAAAATTCGTTATAGCATCGAAAAATGGATAGAAGTGTTTTGAGAAAACGAATAAAAAGGTAAACTCTGCTTTGTAAGGAAAATATTCCTGACTATCAAATAAACATGAACAATGTTTGGATGACCATACGAAGTGTAGCAGACTGAGCATTTATTTTACATTACTTGTGCAGACACAAAAGCAACACTTACTTGCTTTGAAGGAACACCCTTACAATTACCGACAGTGAACAAAACATATATTTAAAAGAAAACCACTATGAACCTAATGCGCTTGCACTGTCAATGAAAATGTAATAGATATATCATGTTAAACAGTTGAAAAATAACGTGTGCAAATAAAGGTTTATTCTTTTTCTCTCTCTTGAAGACCACCTTTTGTTCTTAAAATCTGTAAATCATTAATGAGATATCAAGTGATTAGAAATACTTTAGGTTTCTTTTAATTTGAAATAAAGATCATACTTGGTATTTAATCAAATTGCTTCCCTATCGTTTTAATTAAATATTATAACATAAGGTTTACAAAGACATTACCGGCTTTAAAATGAAGCTTTACTACACGAACCACGATTTACAAATCGGCTGTTGAAGCAACCATATCAAATACAATTTATACCAATAGGTCAATGACTCTATACAATGTGTAGACCGTTCTGGTGCCACATTCTAAGAATTGTGACTTCCTCAGTTAACAGTCATTATTATGTTTGGTCTTGATTGCAGATTATTTTACAGAGTTCTGTAAATCTAGGTTCGAGAATAGAGCTTGGCATATGGTAAAAAAATTTTACTAAGGTTGAAGACAGTATGGTGAACTCTGTTGTGTGGCTGGGTTTTATTGACGTTTACTGCAAATCTAACTTTACCCATTAATGTAAATCATTCATTATATAAAAATAATGCACTACTTTTCGTGCAAATAAAATTTCCCACACTGTAACCTATTCTTTATAATATCAAAAATACTCGTCAAGTCTTGCGCTTAAAACTGTTAATTCGATAAAATAGAGTTATTGTAAGGAAATACAAATTCTTAAACATTTTAAATTAGGGATCAAAACCAATGAAACATTGAAAACTGTATTTTCTAGACACTGTGTAGACTGGGGTAAGACGAACGACTGTGAACATTCAAGAAATAACTAGATTAGCATTTCAATTCGAAAAGTTTAACAAATTTCTGTTATAAATAAATGTTCAAATTTGCTATTGTTTCATAGTATATATGTCTAGTTGCCTTTTTACGAACAGTACAGCCTTAAATATTTGTTCATATCCGTAAATAGATAGATGCATATCGATTTTAACTTCAGTATTGTCCATTTCGTGAAGACAAACCGGTAGCTATTAACCATCATTACAAAAAAAGACAAAAATATCACGTTAATTTGATAGTAAATGCTTTATTGAGAGAAAATAAGTGGTATCTTTTATACATGTAGGAAGATCAGTCCAACAATAGTTCTAGAACTGGATTCTACCTACATGTCTCACTCTGTAGGATTTCCTGGTAATTAAGATGTATTTTGTCAAAACATCAATAAAACAATCAAACACACCTACAAATAAAATGAAAGACATAACCCTACGTCCATTACTTTCGCGAAAATACTATTCCATTTATAAATAATAACTTTTTTTCAGAAAGATTGTTTATTCGAATCATTTTATAGGTAAAGAATTTGGGAAAAAGAAGCTTCATTCCTTAAAAAAAGGGTATAGAATATATATCTAGTTTAAGTAAATTGCCAACTTTGCCAAGCAGCTGAATTAATATTCAACAAACAGTAGCATAGATATTATTAGAAATATCAATTATTCATCTCAACTTTGGTGAAAACAAAAACAAAAAAGTCTGAAAGTTAACTCATTAATTTAGTTAGGTCATCCTAAAAGGAAACTCAATCATTGGTATAGATAAAAGCATTCGGGAAATAAAGAGGTCTATAATTCTTTATTTTTTGTTTGCCTAATTTTTTTAATGGAAAATTACTTATAAATTATTTGAGTAAAAATGTCACAATACAACGTTTGTAGACAAAACGACTACAAATTGACACCCACAAATCGTCTAATATGTTGTTTTTAATGCATCCGAAGCACTTTAGCTTTACATACTATCCGGAAAGCTCACAACCAAATATTTGCAGAGCCAAAAGACGCATATAAAGGAGCAAATAGTGAAAAAAAAAACATTTCAAATTTATCAGGGCTTAAGCATGTTTGCCGTTTTAATCTCGGAGTCATCTTGTTTTCATCATTTTGACCTCCGATTTAGATTTAATAGCATTGAAAAATTTTGCCAACACAAATTTCCTTTCATATATCCAGAAAATGACGCATTTAACTGCAGCCCTGCAAAATAACAGTTGAATCTTTTTTATGCACATGTTTTGCCAGTTAAAATAATATTCAAAAATCAAGAGAATTCCTGTTTCCCGTCAATTTTTCCTATGCTTTTTTTTTAATTTAAAAGACGGATTATTGTTTTACTGGTTAATCATGCCTTTTTTTAGCAATTGTCTTACAGTATTTAGCAGCTTTTTTAAAATCGTAAACACATCAGCAAACTTCCTTGGGCATGAAAGACTAGTTATACCGGATAGAAATTGTCTTCACCAAAACAATAAAAAATCCGTTGAAACAACTCTTTGTAAATGATTTGTATGTATTTTAATGTAAGATTATACTATATATTCAAATTTTGTTAATGTTCATCCATAAAATAAACTAATTGTATAATACAATTTTTCTCGAGAACTAAAGGAACAAGCGCCAATCGAAATGCAATATAAGCTGCTTTTTTGTATATATAAGTATTATTTGTGTCATATTCACTAAGTATTGTGTCGGACAATTTTTAATGGCAGTTGAATAAGGTGTCATGATATACTTCAAAATCATTTTTCATCACACATTTAGCCTTGAATTTTCGACAAAATAGACATCGCCAGAGCGCAGATTTCGAAGAGAAAGAAAAAAAGAAATGAGAAATCACATACAATATGTATTTTCAAGACGAATATCATTACATAATGATTTGATATAGTTAGCTCATGGTATAATGTGATTGATTGATTGTTGTTTGTTTAACATCCAGTCACTTTGGTATTTTATGTGAAGTTTCACAGCAAGTGAATTGCGATGTAATAAGTACATTATGCATATGATCGTGGAAACACTTCTACGGATGAAACTGAATCAGAACCTAGGAAACTAGAAAGTATTTCCACTACAGTTATATTTTTAGAAAGATAATAACAAAAATATATACTAGTCAACAAAAGTAACGATACACAAGTTTGAACTCTAATTTATCATAAGATATTACAAATAGGAAAAACTGTTAAATTATCCTATGAAAAACATTCATTTGCAAAGCAAATGCATATGATTAAAAGAATCTGACCAAATTGGAAAGGTGAGAAAATACCGTGTTAACACTCTGTAAATATTTGACCAATTGGGCAATGATTTACCTTGGTACAGTCTATCCAAATTCATTATATATGGAAAATACATTGTATCGTGTCTTTTGTTGACTAGTACATGTCAAACAATTATTATATTTATCTATTGAAAGCAACTAAAGTTATTCCATTCAATGGACTATTTTTTCTTGACAAAATACAACTGATCCGTACATGTAAGCAATTGCATACATTTTGAAAACATGAAGTTGATGCATTCAATTATATTTTTATCTTAAAATACTTTCAGACAATGTTGACCTTTGCATTCTTGGTTGTCCGTTTAGGCCCATGATTTTTTTTCTTTTAAATAATGTCATCTGAACCTCGCTTTCGGGCGCTTCAAACACATTGAATTTAAACTGAAAAAAACACACGGTGAATAAAAGATATTAGTTTATTTTAGCTATGGTGTTTGATATTGTCATTCTTGTATAATATCGATTGAAGTGGCGAATATGTTGCGCTGCTTCCCTTACCTATTAAATTCATGATGAGCTACCAAGGAGTAATCTTCTAGCGCAGCTAATGGATAACTCCTCCAGTTCAGTTTTTAGAGCGACAACTTAATGTGAAAGAGCAACTGGTTTGTGTTCCACGGTGTATTGGTTTGTAGTATAAAGTTTTGAGAAAAAATCATATTTTGCTATTACATTAAAAAAAGTAAAACAACATTTTATAAATTTTATCCGTCCAAACCGCTTTTTTTGGATTTATTTTCATCAGGAACTCTCAAAGTTGAATATTTGAAAGCCAAGGATATATAAGAACCGAAACAGATGAAAAGCTATATGACCAAAAAGGACATATAAATAATAGTCATATTCATCTAAGGTCAACTTTGCTTTGATCAATAATGATGGCAGTTTATTTGATACCCAGATGACGCTATAGCCATCTGCATCTAAAGGTGGGTGCGATGTATTTTTTGTCGTTAAAACACGTGGTGATGTTTCCTAATACGAATACGAAAGTTTTATTTTGATTCGGCCTACATGTTCATTCTCAAAAGCCGTATGGTACCTAGTAAATGAAAAACTATTCTTTGATACAATAACAATCTGTGTTTAAAAAAAAAGCCCCCTCTTACTGGAGATGAACAATCACCTGCATGTGGTAAGTATAAAAAATATTTTTAGAAATAATTTTAGAATTTAAAAACAAACAGAATATTAGTACCGGTATCTATAAAAAATATATGATCTAAAACCCCGAGTTTCTAAGTAAGAAACATAATTCAATCCGTATCTGATCCCGGGGTTGTAAAAGTGCGTTTGCTTAGTTTGTTAAGTCATAGATTTTAATCATGTATGCACATGTAAATACACGTTGTTTGCATTTTGATTAGTCAAGACTAAGCATTATAAACAATCATCATATGTTATAATGCGTGAATGTCCAGTTCTGTGATTCTCTTTGTATGGAACATTTACGCATAATAAGGCCATATTCGTCCTGATCAAGACACAGCCCACTCTTTTCATGCTTAATGTAGCGATTCTTTTTATGATCCCATGTATGTTTGGGGCCGATCATACAGCAAACTAATTTTGGTCTAGTGTTTTCTGCCAACTTTGTCAAAGCTACACAATGAAGTGTGGTTCTTAATAACTTATCCCTTGTCCAGGAAAACCCTTGTTTACTTAGCTGTCCAGTACATCTCTTTGAATAAACGTCTTCTTCATATGTTAACAGGTAGCCATTATTATCAAGACATGTGTCATGTAGCATATTTTTAGCAGATCCCCAGGCAAACACATTTTTATCATAAACCAACAATTCTGGTCGTACATTTTCCAAATACCATGTAAATTTTTTACACTTTAATTTTTCTTTAATTGTCAATCGTTCAGATATATCACCTGCATCCATGTTCTTCATTTCTGGGAAGAAGTCATAAACAAACTTTTTATATGCTGGGTCCATCCAAACGTCAACAGCCCGTTTGTAGTTATATAGTTCAGTTTTTCGCCTGCCTAATGGAAAAGAGTATGGCTGTGGTCGAGCTATGTGTCCTACATGGGAACAAGGCATATGCACCATTTTCCCTCCGCACATCCATACCCTCCAGGGTAATTCTAAGTTTTCTCCTCCCCATATTTTCATGCCTTCGTCATAAGCTCCGATTTCACGAAAATACTTACTGTCAACTGCCATGGCTGGACCGACCATTACCGCCCCTGGGCGCATATCTTCTGCTTTGGGTCCATATTGATCCGGTCTAAACCTCGACTCCCAGAAATACAGACTCCAGTCAAATACATAACGGACTATATGATCTCGTCGGTAGAACTGATATTCAAATGTATCGGCTTGGATGTAGTCCAAGTTTCCCATTGCTATAGTTCGTCTGTCCTGTTTAATCACTGACAATAGTGGCTGCAACCAGTCTATATTTACTTCCATGTGACTATCGAAAAATACAATAACCTCACCCGTAGAATTCCTCCATCCGTTCATACGAGATTTGATTAACCCTTGACGTGTCGGATTGCGAATGATTTTAACTAATCCTGTTGGAAACATTCCTTTTACATATCGGCCAAGTGGAACATTTAGTGCCTCGTATGTACTTTTATCATCCACAAGGATTATCTCATGAAGCAGATGTCTTGGGGTCCTGTTCACTATGCTATAAATAGTTCGTTTAAGAATTGATGGCCATTCGTCATGAAATGGTATGATAATACTTGCGGTGGGCAAATCATGCTCATATTTTATATTTTGGCAACTTTTCATTCTGGAATCTGGTACAATACGGTTCAGAGGTGTAATATCACTTGCTAATATATTGACCCGGTATTCATTCATAATTTTAGCAACAGTATGTTTTTCTTGTTCACTAAATATGACTGGTGTTCCGTTTTCACCCGGTCTTGTCAAATCATTTTGACCGAATTGATCAATAAGTGGATTACTCGTATATTGGTTCTTTCCCTTATTTGGTAACTGCTGTAAACGTACTTCTATTGATTTTTACATCGCGATGACCTTGGGGTCATTCAGATGTATTGCTATCGCGTAGATTTCCATTATGTAAATTAGTTTTGGGTTTGTAACCGATCTATAAACATGATAAATATGCGCACATAAACGAATGCAAAATAACATCCCTTATCGTTTGATATAAATACATCTCTTCAATGAATACTGATAAAAATATTTTTGTTTACAACATAAATTAATAATATGAAAATGTTTTGTAGTTCGATATATATATATAAGTAAAAAATCATTGATAATATCAATGCAGACGTACCGAAAAATTGTGTTAAAGCATGCGGAAGAATATCTCAGAGAACTTTTTGCGAGGACCGGTAACTCTGTAATTGTTTTTGCGGGAAAATATGAATGCCTACTCGTATCCGATCTTAGAAAAATCGAATTTTTACAGAAAAGTGTCCACCATGTATACTGATTTGTATCACTACAATATAATAGTTATTATGGTGAAGTTGAATTTCCTGTCATTTATTCATCATCCACGCACGAACTTGTCTCAGAAAAAAATATATCTCTGTACATTAACCTCAGTTTCAGGTAAAGAGATATGTTGTTTTTTTCTGAGACAAGTGCTTTTGACCATCCTCAAGAACTTGTGGTCATCCGATGTTCAGTACTTCAGTACTTTGATTGAATTTGGTATTTTGGAACACCTGAAGCAGATATATGTCCTTTGGTTTGGTATCCATTATATCTATCTAACGGATTTAAAATAAATGCTGAATTGATAAGACAAATAACGAAAGCACACCCGGCCACGATTAAAATATATCTAAATTTCACTCTCATTTTTCCTTCAAATTATGTTTGCTATAATTTAACAGCTTTTAATGTATAATATCAATAAATAAGTATTATTTCATATTTAGAAGCAGCTGTCTTTTCCTTTTAACAACCTGTTCAATAATCTGTTGTGCTAAATTTGTTTCAACGATTACTTATCTTTTATAATTATCTTATAAAAGAAATCAAATTTAAAAAAAATAGTTCATACATAAAGAAGGATATCCAGAAAAATCCGAACGTTTAATTCTCTGTTAAAACAAAAGTCATCACGCATTGATACTCTTACATTTTGGACGACAAGGCAAACCGGTTCGTTTAAAGGGACATTAGCTGTCAAATTCATGTTCACGGCCGGGATTCGAATCAAATTCTCATATTTGATTTATAAAATACTAAAACGTATGTCAAAATTACAAAAAGTCTAAAATAAACAATGCATGGACTCGATAATATGTGTCAGAATTTCGTCCTTTAAATTGAAGCACAAATGTCCATTAAAAAAAGCGCATATGTCCTATGAAAAAGCGCAAACGTCCCGCGCCGATTTTATATAAAAAGAAGATGGGGTATGATTGCCAATGAGACAGCTCTCAACAGTAGACCAAATGACACAGAAATTAACAACTATAGGTCACCGTACGTAGTCTAGTAAGACGCCTTCTAAATAACCATCGAAATGACCTCCGTAGAATGCCGAATGTAGAAAATATATGTATATCTATAAATAGACAGATAAGCACAGATAAGCACGTGCTAGTGTATACATACTGATTATTGTTCTTGGTCTGTTTGATTTCATGTCATAGATATGAAAATCATCGTTTTTAGCTATAAAAGAATGATTTTTTTTGTGTGGATCGAATCAGTGAACGAAATGTTTCACCATTGTTTCACTTTTAATGTTGACATTTTTTTCTTTTTAATAGCCTAACAGACCTAGTACATGCGTACAGCAATGTAACTCATCTCCAGCTAAGGGTTAAATTGAAGGTCACATGCATACGGATTTAACTGAGGTTGAATTATTGACTTGCAAGTCAATAATCAATCAGCGATGTTTTTGAGCTTATTTTGACAAATTTGGACCATACTGACTGCTTGAAATATTATTTCAAAATTTCGTTTTTTTTTCTTCTTTATTACTGCACATATAGCGATAAAACTTTATGGATATGTATTTTATGTTATAATGAACATATCTAAACAATAAGTAAAAAATCGCGAATTTTCCCTTTAATTCTTGAAATTAAAAAAATCTTATTTTTTTCTCTAAAACGTAGCTAATGCCTCTTTAAAGAGAAACAAGGTTTAAACTTGTGCATCCATACTTTGATAATATTGAATAATCTTTTCAACCTGGCAGAAAAATAATTTAACCTAGATATATTTTTTACTTCCCACGATTGAAAACTGAATCTTTATCTAGGTAACATTATTGTGTTTTTACCAGCTGACAAAACAGCAAAATATACTGTCATTTTCGACGTAACTTCTGAACTGTAATATTCAAAACTGATTGAACAAATCTGAGCAAGTTCATAATACTATTTCTTTTGACAAAAAAAAAAAGCGTAGATAGACACTTTCAATCAAAGATTGAACTGAAAGCTATTCTGAACTCCAAACAGTTTTTGATGAGTATAACACATACATTCGTTTAACTTTCATTTTACATCTGGATTCAGTAATTAACACTGTTCGGGACAAGTTTGCCATCCCATTGCGTGCAAAATTTGGCATCTTATTTTTTGTAGATACAGACAAATAAAGTTATAGACTAACTTGGTATTGCTTCCCTGGTCTTAAATTCTTTTGTTGTAGGAGTTATGTTCCCTTCAACAAATTTCCTCTAAAGAATGAGCAAAAACTTATTTCCTCGAGGGAAATCAAATTTCCCCGACGCAAAACTACCTTTCCTTGGAGGAAATTTTCCTCAAAGGGAAAAAAATGTCATAAGAAATTTCCTGCAATTACTTTTTCCACAGAGGAAATTAGTTGCTTCAAAATTTCATTCAAAGAAATCGGATACATTCCCTTGAGGAAATTTTAAACAAACTATTTCCTCGAAGGAAATGTCTTGTTCATCCCGTTTCCTCTAAGGAAACTTTATAGTTTCAAATTTCCCTTACAGAAATTTAAAGAAATTAATTTTCCTTTTTAATAAATTTACAGAGCTCAAATGGCTAAATTTCCTTTTGGGTTATATACCGAATCAGATTTGAACAGATCTTCATGAACGTAATTTTACAAACTTTTGTTTCTTCTGAATGATATAATAACATTAAAGTTGATATTATGTGCTAAATTTCTCAATACAATTTAACAGACTAGTTAACACTATACTGTTTGTTCTTATTAAAATGATAAACTGCAATTGATGTAGCCCATCTATTAAAAATTCCATTAAAACTAATTGTACAATTGTTCCTTAAAGAAAATCATTTTATCCATTTCCTATAAAAATAAGGAGATGTGGTATGATTGCCAATCAGACAACTATCCACCGAAGTTCAAATGAAGTGGATGTAAGCAATTATATGCAAACGTACAGCCTTCAACAATGAGGAAAACCATTACTGTATAGTCGGCTATAAAAGGCTCCGACATGAAAAATATGAAACAATTCAATTGATTAAACTAACGGCCTAATTAATAACAAAACAATTTACGAAAAACAAATATGACAGACATGAACCAACGACTAGCCAATATCTGTAAGCCTATAGAACTTTTCGTTATTATGGTTAAATGGAACATTTAAAGGACCCATTCTCTTTAATTTATTGTCAAATTTACACTCTTTGTTGGCGTCTTTGTTAGATTAATTTGTGTTTGTTTGATTTTTGTAGTCAGTTGAGTTGTATGTCTGTGATGTATGTTAATGTTTTTTTAATTTTAGGTCATCCATATGTTTTGGAGTTTAGTGTGATGTCCATTTTCATTGAACTAGTACACATTTTGTTTAGGGGCCAGCTGAAGCCCGCATCCGGCTGCTGGATTTTCTCGCTGTGTTGAAGACCCATTGGTGGCCGTCGGCTGTTTTCTGCTGTTTGGTCGGGTTGTTTTCTCTTTGACACATTCCCCATTTCCATTCTCAATTTTATTACACAGTTTTGGCTGCTGGATAATCATTTTCACATTAGCCTATTACGAAAAAAAATATGACAGACATGAGCCAACGACAACAACTGAACTACAGGCTCCTGGCTTGGGATAGGCACATATATAATGCGGCGGAGTTAAACTAGTTTGCTAGCACCAATCCCTCTCCTTCACCTGGGACCGTGGTGTAACAGTACAACATAAGAACAAACTATATTCAAAGTACTGAAGTACTGAACATCGGATGACCGCAAGTTCTGGAAGATAGTCACAGTCACTTGTCTCAGAAAAAATAGAATATCTCTATACCTGAAAGTTAGGTTAAGGTACATAGATTTTTTTTTCTGTGTGGAGGATGAATAAATGACAGAGAATTCAACCTCACCGTAATAATTATTATATTGTAGTGATATAATCATGGGACAATCATTTGTTATCAGTATAATCTGGTTTGTTGTTATATATTATATTAATATTTGTACAACAGTTATCTATATAGCAGATCATCTTAATAACTCTACCGACAAATTTTCATCCATTTAAACCATCAAATATTTTCATGAGTATTCATTGAAGAAATGAATTTATAACAAGCGATAAGGAATGTTATTTTGCACGATGATATCCGCGTATTT